CGCTGAAGCGAAACGCCAGCTTTAGCATGGGAGGTTGTTACACTTCCAAAAAACAAACAAACAAACACACACACACACACACACACACACACACACACACACACACACACACACACACACACACACACACACACACACACACACACACACACACACACACACACACACACACACACACACACACACACACACACACACACACACACACACACACACACACACACACACACACACACACACACACACACACACACACACACACACACACACACACACACACACACACACACACAAAACAAAAAAAAATTCTAAAAGTTAGTAAACCTCTTGCATTAAAAAAAAATAAAAACTCTACCCATATGCAAAAAATGAGGTGCAGCCAAGTATTTTTCTAAATAAATTTAATTTACAAAATATTTTAAAATAAAAAGTAAAATGAGACACGCGCAAATTGGACAAAAAAAATCTGCCTCAGCTGTTTTATCTTTCATGAATTTTAAAACTGAAAGAAATACAGAATAGCCCATGCTATTTAAAAAAAAAAAGGGGGGGGGGGGGCGGGGGCTGGGGCAAAACCTATCCTCATTTTCTAACCACCCGCCAGGCTTCCTCTTACAAAGAAAGGTAGCCCTATACATTACTTTTTCATAACAAACAAAATTACATATAGGACTGAGTACTTCCACGTTTACAGTACACTTCCTATCTTTTCCTTACAGCAAGGAGATTTCCCCTAAAAAGACAACTTTAAAGACTTCCATCTAAAATATCAACCTATACAGACCACATTTAAAACACAGTATTTCATATACCAGTGACAAAATATTGAGTTTATTTTCACTTATTCTTCCATATAAAAGGATCAACATTTAAACGTGAACAACATGGTTATGGGGGATTTCAAATGATTTGCCATTGTTACCTTTAATACATCAAATCCTTTTATACCAAAACATTTATCATGAACAAGAAAAGGATCCTTATGGGCTGAAACAAAATGTCTGCCCTGCATTATATTCTGCCAGTATTATTCTTCAATACATATGAGGAAACAACCAAATCACTGTAAGGTATCATTTAAAAAGTCACAAGGACCTACAGATACATGGACCCCATCCCCCTTAAACTTTAGTTCCTATTAAGAACATGTAGCCCTGCACGTATTATGCATGTACACTCAATATAGAGAAATTTCCGATCTTTTTATTGTTTTCAAGGAAAATAAAACCCCACTGATCTGCCACAGCCTTCTCAGAATTCATTCATATTCCTTTGCGTGAATTTCTAGACAGAAGTTCTCTGCATTTTAACACCTTAAGGATCATTTATTCCTTTGCACTTAGTAACGCGCTTATCGCTTGATCAGGTATATTATGAGGTGATTATTTTGAAGCATTCTTCACACTTTTGGACACTATTTCACATTTGTTAATAGGCAAATAAGGTTAGCTCTTTGACAAGAGCAAACAAATCTTCTGTCATCACATTGTGTTTTGGCATGATCCATTTTTAAAAATAACTTCCCAAATTATAATCCAGACTGGAGTAGCATTACATTTTTAAGGAAACCACAATCCAATGGAATATATATCATCACCACTACAATTACTGATGCTGTTCAGCATTAAAAAAAAACCCCATGAAAGCCATACCTCTCTGCAGGAAAAGTGTCAGTGCTCAAGGAGGAAATTCCAATATAAATAAATAAAACTGAATATAAAATCCACTTAAAGAAATAAGGGCAGTGACCCAGTCAACAACTAGAAATTACTAAAGTAAAAAAACAAGAGACAGAATTCAAATGTTCAAGCCAAATGAATGCAGTATGTTCTCAGAACCATATAGGAGTTCAGAGTACCAACACAGACTCCTCTCTTCTCCCCAAAGGTCAGCATGTGGAAAAGATTAGGTTTTTGCAATGTGCCACTGATCACTCTTAAAGAAGTTTAAAGACAGACCTGCTTCTTCCTTCTTTGGCAATAAACAGTCAACCGAGTCAACTGCTGTCAGATAAAAACATAGCCTTTATTTTAAGAGTTTCCTCCAGGTTAATAGGACATGCACTATTGTATGAGTACATATACGTATTAAAATGGAGGTACCAGACACCTAAGGAGTTTTGACCTACGCAGCTGTGAGGTTCAGTCAGATCTCTGTCCTTCAATTCCTGCCCTCCTAAGAGGAACTGTCCTCCATCAAGCAGAGATCAGCTGCTCGCACATACCAAATGAAGTACCAGCCCATGAATATTTACTTTGCTCATATATGAATTCAAACAGACATAAAGCCATTAAGATTTATAGCTCATGATATTAAAAAAATAAAAACTATGTATCTAGCACTTAAGTTTTCCTATTCTCTTTCACTGCCAACTGGCAATGATCCAGCCTGACCAGCAGGTAAAAACACTAACTAGTCTGGTTATCTGCAAATAAAAGAGTGCCAAAGAACCAGTAGGTCATTTTTTCCAGGAATGACTAATAATTCTGGTCACCCAAACACAAAAGTTGGTGCTCGTTTTTCTGAATAACAAGCCCTTTTACAGTCTGTTTATTTTTGGGCACCCAAAACCCATCAAGCACTTTGGAAGATATTGACCTTAATGTTTTCCGAATAATCAATTGAACTAGAGAAAAAGCCAGTATTCAGAATATATATAAAAGGCACGATCATGAAAAACTTTAAAAGGACATTATCAAGTAAATATGCTCCAAATTCCATTTTACTAGAGTGCCTTCCAGACTGACTGGATTTTAAAAGAAAAAAAAATTAGTTGCCAACTATTTTTAAGCCACTGTTCAGTCAAAATTCTACAATTTCTTTCTACTGTAGAACAGCAAAGACAAGAAATAACAAAAGGTTAAGCTTTTTAGTCTGAGAACTGTACTGACACCACTGATGTCAAGTTATTCTTAATGGTACGACTACAAATGCTGGAAATGTGTTGTCTCATGTCCACATGCATTAGTATGGATATGATACATACTTGTCAATTTGAAAACTACAGGTGAAATTGCTATTTTCAAGCTATGGAGTGAAAAGATGGCAGAAGTGGTTTTATTTTTGAAAGGAGATGAAGTGGAGTTAGCAAGCAGGAAGGATAGTACTTGATAGCGTCCTTTCAGAAGGTGGCATTCAATGGCCTAATTATTGCTGTATATTAGCTAGTACTCAGCTTTTTAACCAGATATATTTACAGCACGTCAGTCTGAACATTCCCAGAGCACAGCTCTACATTTTACTTTAGAGATATAAACATAGAACAGTTAAACATATGTAGTCCTGTTTTAGAAACTGAACTTTTAAAATTTAGGACTTCTATTGTGCTTCTTTGGATAAGTCCTATTTAAATATTGATAACACTTAATTTCTATAGCTCTTCCACTATTTAACAGATAACAGAAATCTTTGGTGTGTTTAAGTAAGAATCCATAAGGGTACAAACTTCAAAACATGAACATTCAGGCAGCTCTGGCCCCTCTCTTACAAACTGCTGAACACCAAAGTAGATGGGCATTAAAAGAACTTAACACCTAAGTATTTAAACAGGTTTCAAAATGATCAGTGTCATTTAGAGTTTGTAGAATTGGGGTGATAAAAGAACTTTTCATCATAGATCATTTGTAGTCAGGCCACTGGATAAATTTAAGTTACTCACAGTAACACACATACTTCCAGTTTCTCATTTTAAAACCACGAATATAGAATTTCTCTAAAACAGTAAGAATAGCAGATTTCTGTGGAAACTGGTGAAAACTCTGCCTTAGAATGCAATTCTTATGAGGAATAATTAAGATGAAAATATGACTTCCCACAATTTATTTGGCATAATCTTGACCAAATCAACACGGGGAGAATTATTTTTAGAGTATGCTTAAAATAGACAATTTGATGGGCTTAAATAACACCAGATTTCGTGTTAAATTACACTAGACTTCCAGTACAAAATGGTTCTTTTTGAAAAAACCCTTATATCTAGTAAAGAAAAAGCCAAAATTAAAGATACAGAATACTCTCAAGCATTTGACTTTGTTTTATAAACACAGTACAAGTATCTGAAAAAACAAAACAATTTTGTTAGCAACTCACAAGAGATTTATAATTACCCATTATTTCTTTTTAAAATAAAAGTAGAGTGCTGTCCTGGAAATAATAGCCTTTAAATTTCTTCTTCAGCACAAAACTTGAAAATGAGCATGCTAATGTGGGGCCTTGCACAATTTATGCTCTAACAAGGATAAACCATGCCAATCCTTTATTACTGTTTATAGGTTAAAACGACCTTGCAAATTCTACCATTTCTCTCAAAGTTATAGTGTGGGGCACACTTTAGAAAACAAGGAAGATTAAAGAAGCAAGAAAAAAATGCCTATATAATTATATAGGATTAACTTTAGAAAATTAGACAATACTGCTGTCTAAATTCTCACACACAATTCAGTATCTGATATTAGGGACCAAAGAAGAAATAAGAGACCAAATTTAGGTAGCCTAAACTCTCTATACTTGATTTTCTTACTTTCGGGAATCTTTACAGCTCCCTGCTTGGTGACTTTAGAGAATATATGAATCACTTTTCAGAAGAATCTAGTTCCTGTGTCCAATGGCTAGGCTTAGGTGTCAGACAAGAATTTAAACCCTCTAAAAATGCTTGAGGGTTCAATCACAGCTATATTTTAATTTATACGTAAAGCATAATTGGAAGTTTTTGTTTTACTTCCTGTTCCCCCACCCCCATTACAACTTTTAATGAACTGGACATAGCCCTTGTTCTTCCAGTATGCTTTCTATGACACTTAAAACATTAACTCAAAGTGAGATGCAGAAAGGCAAACAAATTTAAATTAATAGCCAGATATGTAATTACATTTTTCGGCAACTAGCCTTAAAAGATATTTCAGAGCATATTTTTTAAAAGACCATCTGCAAGATTCTTAGAAACTCTTAAAATCTCAAGAAACACTCTCTCAGTATGCATAAAAATGTGCCTAAATGTTCAAATATTATGTAAACAAACCTGTTTTTCCAAAACTATGCAGAAGACTCATGAGCCCAAATAAAATATAAATCTTAATTGCCATATCAGCCTTCTGTTGGCTAATGGCTTAGAAAGTTAGGTGGAATGTTATGGTCAGATCATGAATGTTCATTGTTTGAAATATTCTGTACAGTAGGAGCTGCATCTAGCCCCAGTAAAGTTCCAAGGTATGACTGGTCTCTAGGATCCAACATTTGCTCAGGCCTTACAGGATGAACAATATTTGCAGGTTGCGGAGTGAGAGTATATTTCTCTAGAAATGATAAATCTGTTGCTCGCTGATAATCTGCCTGCTCAGGTTGTGGAGGAAGAATGCCATGTGGCTGAGTAGTATGCTGCACCAGCTCAGCTTGAGGTTCAGACATCTGAACCGGTACCAAAGTCACTGGCACACATACTTCTGTAGATACATTCTGTAGCAAAGTTTTGGCTTCTGTTTGATATGCTTTTGACTGTTCCACATACTGCTTAGCCTCAGTTTGGTAAACTTTGTCATCAGACGTGTACTGTACTGGTAAGGAGACTAACTTTTCCTCGGAAGAAGACGTCAACACCTCTTCTGCAGCCTTTGTTCCATGCACGTGATCAATATGATACTTCAGCTTGTCTTTTCGTTTAAATGTTGCATTGCAATGTTGACAATTAAAAGGTCGAGCATCTGAATGAATAACCATGTGTTTTGTCAATGTCTTCTTAATTCTAAATGACTGATTACAGATTTGACATTTGTATGGTTTCTCACCTACAAAGAAGCAGAACTAAGAATTAAAGATAAAAGGTTACGCTGAGTAAAAACATCTCACACACATACATATGCAAATACATACGTGCATTATAGCAGAGAAACCTATTATAAAAATAGTTCCATTGGAAAAAAAAATAATACATTTAACAACAATTTGGGACTCAGGAGCGTCATTAGAAGTTTGTGTAAAAACGGTACTGGCATACCCTTCCCCCTAAATACTTATCCCAATATTTGGGATTTCTGCCATGTACACATAATCAGAATATAAACCAAATTCAAAAGGAATCATCTTTAAACGAGGATACTGATATTATACGTAAAAATACAAACTGAGCTCATTTTTTCAAAAGGATAATAACTCTTTGAAACATAAGGCACAAAAGGTAACACCAAATGTATAAAGGCATAAACCTTTCCAAATGGCTTTCAAATCTTCATAATCAGCTGAAATTAGTATTCCCTGGATCATGAAACTGATCAGAAGTCTGGGTAAATTTGACGGGAATATACAATTAGCATCAGTAGATTAAAGGAAGTTTCAGGTGTAGAGAGCATACCACAGAGCCTACATTGAGGATTCTTAACATTTCAATACATTCAGAAGATGGTATTCAGGAAGGGCCAACATATGACTAAGAATAAAAAGTCTTGCTGCTTCCTGCTACTCTTGCCCTGAGTACTCAAAAATTATAATGATGTAAAATAATTCCATCAATTTTGATGCATAGACTCCCACATATAACCCTTTTTTTACCTGAATGTGTCCTAAAATGCATTTCCAAACTTGATTTCCCTTTAAAAACTTTCTTACAGACTTCACACTGATGAAATGTTGCTTTATATCTGATATAGAAAAGAAAACATATTTCATGTTACTTTTTTAAAACAAAAGAAGATAAAACACTGAAATTATGAACACTGAGCTTTTTGAAATTTTTAATTGCAAAATAGCGGTTTGCACATTTCTTCACTTGCATTCATACTTCCCACCATCTGTACGTCAGTTAGGTCAATTAAATTCTTTTCTATCGCCAGTTCTATATTCTCTGCTGGATGAAAAGATTGGCGCTTAGCATTCAAAGAGCAAAGGCCATTAAAACTTCTTTTCTGACCCCAAATACGAGCTGCAAGTAACATGTTTGCCTAATATCCACAAGAGGCTTTTGCTCTGGCAGAATTGTGCCACATGTTAAGAACGGTTTAGGCTACTGGCTACCAAGAAAAAGCAAGCATAAAATAAACAGACAACATACCGTACTTCCAAAACAGATAAGTTTATAAAGGCTTTTATGCAATGTTAACAAATACAAACATTTAAAATACATGATCTGAAAAACAATTAGGTTTCAGTTTATTTGAAACACCTCTGAAAGACTTATTTTTGGAAGAATTAAAAGCGTTATTGTATTTTCAATTTGTATATATACCTAGGGTTTTAGAGTTTTTAATCTACTTTCAAAGCTACTAATCTACTACCAGCTTCTAAAACAGGTAAGTATGGTCTTAAATGAAGTCTGATAATTCAGTCCTAGTTGAACAATAAGAAATATTATAGCAAAATATCCATCTAGAACAACAGTGAGACAGCTAATAAGTGACAGACTTCTACTGGATTAAAATTTGATTCTTTATCAAGCTTCTACTTACTTGACTTAATTATGCTACAAAGAAAAAGTGCTTAAATTGTGAAGACAATTTTCCAACATCCATTTCAAACTATAATAATGATATTTCTACCAAGAACTAAAGTAAGGCATGACAAATGCAGACTACTACAACTCTGCATGAACATGCAAGTCTTAATGAAACTTCAGTTACAGTACAGAAGTGTTTATGCAGTTACCAAAGACACACATACTTCTGCCAAACTATGCAGTTTCCAAAGACATACTTACTTCTGCCAAACTTTTTCTCCTAGATGAACACTTTTATAATGAACAGTGAGGTGATCTCTACGGCCAAAACACTTTCCACATTCCTCACACTGATGTGCTTTTTCACCTTTAAATGTAAAATTCAACAAATTTTAGTTAAATCTTCTGGAACATTTGCACTCTTTTTAAATGTGTATCAGCTGTAATTGTAACACAAACAAAATAGCACATCCATGAACAAAGTCCAGGCAATCAAGCTCTTCCATACCGTAGTCAGCATGGGATATACCAAAGGATATACCAAAGGATTCTGTGTTACCAGAGGATAAAATTCAGGATGTAGGGATAGTTCTATCAGAATAGGAATTTTTACCACTCTTTATTTATGGCTATTACTGACCTTTTCTCATTCCTACACAGCAATTCTTGTTCATTAGTCAGGGAGGACCTTTCCCACAACACCCACTGAGAAAGGAGGTACAACAGAATGACTAGGAATCCACTCTCTTCTTTATGACCTGCAGCGTTGTATGTCCAAAAATTCATACCCAAGAGGCTTTAAAATAGAAGCTTATTTAAACATACAACTTACTTTTAGCCACTAATTTTTAGAGTTTAAAATTAGTTCTAAATTTTTTTTAATTATCCTCATTTACATATTTACCTTTTTCTTTTATGCTGCTGTTTAAAAGTATCTTGACTCTTTCTAGTCATCTTGAGATCTTCTACAAAGTGGCAGAATGTTTCTTCTCATGTAAGCAGAAGGAGTGTGGACAGTCAAAGAATGTAACTTTCTAGAGAGGGGGAAAAAAGCAAATAGAGTAGAAAAGAGGATTTTTTGTGTGTACTTGAGTTTTCAAAGATTTCTTTATTTTATAGCAGACATGATTTCAAACACTAAACAAGAAGCTGTCCTTCAAAATAATGGCTCAGGAAGTTTAGACTCTGATCACTTTCATATTTTCATGCTACCTGGAAAATAATTTACCTCCTAGAAGCCCTTTGGATCCTGTTCTGCAAAAGTCATCCCTAATGGATGTTCCCTCTTTCTATATATCTCATAATCTTTCTGCTATCAGTGCTATATAAAGATTTTGAAGTGTCTACTTCCTCATGATCATTCCCCTCTGGCTTTTCCCAGGGTTGACTCCTGCCATCTTCCTTCCTTCCTCCTCCCCCATAATGGGGACTCCAGGAACACCTCTTTGATGCTATTACATTAAAGTGATCAGTGTACAAACTTTGACAGAAATTGTGACAGCTTCTTCTGTGTTGTGATATTAATGTTTCACACAATTGCTATTAAAAAAAAGAAATCTGAACTCACAAAAATCCTCCTTTTTCCCTTTTGCTTTTTTTTTTTTTTTTTTTTTTTTTTTTTAATAAATCAGTGTTACATGTTTTTGTTACATGTTTTTGACTGTCCCTCAGCTTTGTATGTTAACATGGAGGAAACATTGGACTTTTAAGCCTTCAAAACATATAAGGAGATTAACCCTACTTCAGCACAGCTTAAAAATAATAAGGAACATTTATTATGCCTAAAATATTACTTGTAATGGAAAACAACATGATTTTTATTACACTTATGTTTATTTCAAAGTAGCAATTTTGAACCAATTTCCAAAGAAAATGCCTACCTGAGTGTATTTTTTTGTGTTTTGTCAGATGGTCATGACGAATAAATGTTTTCCCACATTCTTCACATTCATATCTCTTGTCATCATGGTGGACTCTTAGATGAAGTCTATATTAGAACAGAGACAAATGTACTTCCTTATCACTGTTTGAGATTAGCAAGTTGTGGTCATAAACGTATCCACAAAATGCACTTTTGTTAAGATACTCTATAAATCAAATTCAGTGCAAGATACCAGAAAACTCATTTTTTAATAGCTCACACAAATATTGGGAAGTAGCTTTCAACTGAAGTATTGCTAACTGCTCTTAAATAGCAAGAGAGAACACAGCTAAGCTCTCATATCTGAAATTAACTTAGCAGGACAGTTTACTCCTCCTCTTATCTTCTCCTTGAATAACAAAAATGCAATAATTTTAGAGGTACAAGAAAGTGAACTTTGATACGAGATTCATATGGGATTCTGTCTCTGTTTAAACCACAAACATGTCTTGTGCTAAAAGTAAAATCATTTTTCACAGAGTACTAGCGTATTTTAAAACTTAAACATTTTTAAAGCATTTACTAATGCTCTTAGAGTCGGAATAAATCAAAATACTACCTCATGAAGAACTAGTTTGACAAAGAATACATATCAATTACCAAATAAGAGCCACTTCAGCATCTCAAGATACTAAAAATCTGTACCTGTAAGAGCTTCCATGACGAAAACTCTGCCCACAAATACTGCAAAGATGAGGCTTCTCTCCACTATGAATTCTCAAGTGTTCTTTCAAAGTTGTGCTGTTTAACAAAGGCAGTAAAATTTAATTTTAAGCACTTGCTGTCACTGCCACTTTGAAGTGAAAATAGAATTTCATGTTCTCAGCTTCTTGAAGTCTGATGGATCGCAGTGCATCGAAATAACTGGGTCAATTTATACGGACATACACACGTACGCATACATTCAAATGTAACACAGCCATCTATTTTACTATTTACTTAACAAGCTGGCTCTGGAAACAAGATAATCCAAGAAACACAATAACATACATTAAAGAAAATACCAGTTTGGACAGTGTTTTCTAATGTAATAATCTCCTTGTTATTATTGATATCTAATGTTTTATTTATAGATATTTATTTTTATAGACACTCTCAGTAAAAGGTATTTGCCACCTGGATGTTGACCTGATTTACTTATGTAATTAAGTATATTTATGTATTTAAGTATATTATGTAATTAAGTATATTAAGCCACTGCTTTAAAGTCAAAACAAAAAAGAATCCAGATCATGTATCTTAATTCAACTTAATTCATCATAGAACTATTTTAATAATATAAAAGTATATGTGTTCATATTATATAATATTTATTACATATATTTATGTGAGTATGTGCACATACTCATATGTAAGCCTACTTCTATCACCTTCCAAATACAAACAAATGGAAAAAAGCAGGTGAAAATTCCAGTCAAACAAAGGAATCAGACAATAAAACAGTAAAATTTACTGTACACAGAGTTGGTGCGTGCGCGCGTGTGTGTGCATGTTTAAAATAAGCAAAACAGAAAATTATTTGATCTCATTCCACTATTAAAAATTTTTTGTCCACGATACTTTTCGTGCTTTCCATCAAAAGTTTATTATTCTTAATGACAGCAGTAACATTTAAATATTTAACTGCATTCTATAACTTAAATGAGACTTGAAACACGTAGATATATTTACTTGGGTATTTTACATAGAAATTTGTCTTACAGAGCAAAACGCACTTCACAGAATTGAAAGACTAACCATACTTTATGCTTGTTTACTATTTCATTACTGCATTAGTACATTTTGTTTTAACACCTGCATAACCCATTTACAAAGCTACTGGAAAATAACACCAAACACAGAACCTGTTAGGGACAAGTGTTCCTTTTACAATACTTCACGGGTTCTTTGTCAGTCATTGGAAAAAAGTTGAAACATATTGTAGCGTACATGAACTAAGAATTTTTTATTGCATACTCCCCAAACATAAGTAGAATCTTAGCCACAGTAACTAAAATTAAGTTGACTTCTGTCAAAGGAAAAAAATCATGTTTACTGTTTCAGAACCTAAATAAAAAAAATCACCATCTGGAAAACTTTATGCTACTAAAGAAGATATACTTAATACAGAGTAGTACAAAACACATGCACTGAAACCATGTGAACAACTGTTTGCAATTCCCCTTTTTTCCCCTCAATACATCTACAATAGAAAATAAATGGAGAGGGCAAAGAAGGAGAAAGTTATTTCTACAGCTTCTATGCATTCCAATCTACTGATGGACTGAACTGTAGTAAGCATTCTCTGTTAATTACATTTTAGAACCATATATGTGGACAAGAATTACTACTCAATATTTAGAGCTTCCGTTTTTCAAAGTGCTACGTTAACAAAATTTTTCTCCCTTTAAGGAAGAAGAAGAGGCAAAGACTTTACAGTACTATTCCATCTTCTGTGAAACTGTTTTTGGAAAAGCCCAGTTTCTTCTTAGTCATTCTCACCAAGTGTTCCTCACCTTTCTGTCCTCATCAGTGTATTTGCCAAAACACCTATGGCGACAGGCAAGATGTTCTTGCACAACAAAGGAATCTGAACTGAAGTAAAGACTTTATTAATACAATTCTACTTCGTAAGGAATTACCTACGTTTATCACCCTCGTATTTAGATGTTATCAGAAACTCGCATGCTACCTGTGGCTCTGACACTACTTTCTGATACACTAGCCCTCTGAAATGGACTCACTTACCTTAAAAACTCAAAGCTAAAATATATTCAGAATATAAGCATGCCAAATATTTCTCTGTTCTGCAAATGTTCAAGTAGCCATGCAACTCCTTACCGTTCCCTAACAGATTTTCCGCAGATGAAACATGTCCATTTTCTCTTTCCTCCGTGAGTACATTCTATATGGCGTTTCAGATTTCCTGTATCATTAAACTGACGGCCACAAATGTCACAAGGAAAAGGCCCTATAAGGAGACAGACACACAGAATATTAACTGTCAGTTAAACCAAACAAGATGCACAGATTGGTGACTTGAGAAAAACCTGATCAATTTACAAAGCAAGAGTTTTGTCTAACAGATGATTAACCTTTACATTATAGTCAACACACTTTAATTATACTTCTTGCCAAGCAGTATTCAACTCCTTAAATTATTATTTTGCAAACCTGAAATTTTGACAAGTATCATAATTGTAAAGCAAAAATTTAGCATTAATAGCCAAAATAATTAAGCCTACTTAGACTGTTACAAGAAAACAGATTTCCATTACTATCACTCATCTGTTCCCTAGTTTCTAACTGGCAGAAACATTTTTAGTACAAAAAGGGTCTTTGGAAAACTTCAGGAAGAATCTGACTCCATAGTCAAGAACCAATGTATGCAAAATACAGTATTAAAACAAAACTAACCCTACTACTTGTTCCCCCTTGAACTTTGCATTTATAGATTATAATACAACATCACAAAAAGATAGCTGAATAGAAAAGTGGAAAAAAAAAACCAAAACAAAACAGAAAATCTGTAAGAGAAGCAATTGGAAAAGGGGCAGAGAGGGTAGAAACCAGACTGATCAGGACATACAATGGTGGAGGAGAGTTTTACTTTAAATCTATTGTTTACATGTCAGAAGGAGGTTTCTATACCGAGATGGAATTTTTCTTGATGTTTCAATCTTGCAAATCGTGATTTAAAGTGCTCTTCACAGTAGGTACACTTGAAGGGTTTATCCTGAGAGTGAAGAATCATATGTTCTTCTAAATGGGGTCTTCGAGTGAAAGATTTCTTACAAATCTAAAACAATAATACACTTGAGTCAAAGATGCATCAGTTATAACCAGATTTTCTTCCTATTTACAAAATTCTAGAAGTTTAGTCCATCTGTAGTCTGCCACAACGTAAAATTAAACGAAACATGTATTCTTAAAAAGCATACTTCATCCCAGCTTGTAAAGCCTTGCAGTCAACAACAGAAAAATCAGTGTTCTCCATAAAGCCTAATGAACTGCTCTATATAAATTAGGATGCAGATCCACGGCCTAAATTAAAACTACTGGCCACTCCTGCATACAACCACATGTTCCAAGCTCCTCCTTTCTAGTGAATCCAGCACTTACCAGACTCTTCTCCTAGGGTGCTTCAACACAGTAACTCAGCAAAAAATAATCTGACTGAAAAAAGTAATTGGCTTTCATAATCGGCTGAAACAGCTTAGTGGGACCATGGTAGAAAGCTATTATACAGTATAAGCTACCGGAGAACTACAGTAATACCTGATCCTTATTTCCACTGGGAAATTCTCTGACAACATGCATTAAAAAGAAGGTGCCAATACCAACAAAGAAATATTAGCTCAGTATCTACATTAAAGATATAGAACTTCTGGAGCTTTAAAGATACATGAGCTTTTTAGTACTGTTTTCACATTAAACAAATAAAATTATTAGTGGTCATTAAAGTAGGCATGCTGTTGGATTAGAATTCACCACATTTAGGAATTTAAGCCAGCTATCACATTTTAACATCAGGGTCCAATGCTCTGATGCAAATCAATATGAAGCTTACTGATTTCATTGTGAAACTGTTGCTATCTTTTATGATAATAGCTGAATGCAGTCCTACCAAATTCCAGTACATTAAATCATGCACTCAGTTTCTGAGCGCATACCTGAATTATCATCTTTTAGTCTCAGAGAAATCAAAAGCCAAAACCTTCTTTATTTAAAGACTCATTTACATTAAATATAAGTTGTTCCAGTAGCTATAAAAAGTATAATAGCCTTCTTGCTTTTCTTTACTATCAATGCACAAATGTTTCTCTGAATTTGCTCATATTTCTCCAGGGCTAAGATTTAAAAAAAAAAAAAAAAGTATAAGCACCAAGGCCTGACCGATATGGTCAGATGAACAACCCCAAAACAAAGTCATAACTTTCATAACTTTTAAGGCCTCACTTCATTCTCCAGCTGTTATAAAGGCTAAAATTCTACCCTTACTTCTAATTCTTTCTAAGTCCAATTCCAATGCACATTCTAGAGGTACAAACAAAGAGTTTACCAAACTATTCATCTGATAAAAATGCTTTACGAGAAGGAAACATTGACTCTGCAAAACGTTAATTCCCTCTTTTAAAGCCTTTCACAGTTAGCAACAAAGGAAATCTATAACACGCTCATATGAAATAGCTTAATCTGCAAGGTAACACCCTCTGGTCACAATACCTTCAATCATGGTGAATCACCTGCAGAATGAACACTACTAATTCCTACAGCAAGTTTCCCAACCTCCTACTATATATTTATACACCAAAATTTATAAACAAAGTAAGATTAATAATTGTATGCTGTTATAGCACCTAATACTACAACCTTCTGCCCATATTGCAGAGTTAGCATAAACAAAACATCCGTCAAGCCAGCAAAAGTACACTCATTCCTTACAAAGAAATAATAATTTAAAAAAAAGTATATGTAATTTCACACACATCCCTCTCCTGGAGGAAAGCAAGGAAAGGATTCTATTATTTTACATCTAGATATAATTTAACATATAATTACAACTCTGATGACATGCATATACAGCTAAATGAGAAAATGTACCATAATTAGCATATGTTTTCATCACTATTGAGGAAGCCTTGCAAAAAAGTATACTTTATGGTCAGTATATGAAGTTCAGAATTACTGGGAAAGCAAATATTCTGATTTTAAATAAATCATAACAGTCAAGTCTGCCAATAAATGTATTTTAATAAGGATAATAGCTGATCACATAAAAAAATACTGTATTCAACTATTTTAGAATGCAATTTGGTACTATCTACTCGGTCACAAGCTGTATATACAGAATAAAGTTCGGTCTTTAATTCACTGCATAAAGAAAAAATTCATACTATGGCTTACAAAGCTTACTGAGATCTTGCAGATAACACATACCACATTTTCACTTGAATATTCAAATCACAAAATAAAATAGTAACTACATGGAAAAAAAAATAAAAGCCCTAAAAAGGCTGAAGTACTACTTACATCACATTTCCAACCCTCACTCTTTGTCTTCTTGATAGAAAGAAATTCTTGTACATTCTCTGGATGAAACCTAGCAGAAAGACAGAGGCTGAGAAATTGACTGAAAATGCTTTCATATTAATTAGCATATTTAACAAAGGCAGTCACTTCCAGTTCTTTTCAGTTCCCCATTTGTTATAAAAAGAGTAGTTTATTCAGGGAAAAAAAAGTACTACAGTTCAGATACAAACGTAGTTTTATCTTGACTTGAAATAAAAAAATTAACATGAGTTCAATACAATAAATGCAGATTAGATACAGCATATTTTTATCTGCTCATAAACACTATGAAAGACAAGGAAGTTCTAACTGAGGTATTAAACCCAGACTATATTCAATTCCTTTCCTTGTAAATAAACGGAGTATTTATAACTTTCTAAGATGAAGATCACCTAAATACTGAATTCTCATGTCTAAACTTGGTATATTCTGAAAGGTGATCATCAGACCAGAAGAACAGAATATTAAGTATTTGATTCTAAAGGCATAAGAAACTGTAAAGTACTGCTAATTATCAGCTCTTGTAGAATCCCATACGACAATGAGTAAGACAGAGGAAGATT